TAAACCTCAGGGATGTTTTGTGATATATATATATATATGCCACATCAGCAAACTAACGGAGTTTTTGACGGAACCTAACGGCATGGACCATTTGTGATCACACATACTAACCTTGAGGACCACGAGTGACAGAAAAAAACATTAAGGATGCGATCTGATAGTTTCGTAAATCTTAGGGACCTTTTGTGATAATAAGCCTCTTGGAATTGGTATATTTTGGATTTTATAACTGTCAAAATTGTTTAATGATCAAAGCATTAGCACTGACAAGACCTTCTTATGGAGCCATTAGCCCCTCAATCGTGTCCAATTTTTGAAGAACCGTAGGACCCAAATGACCAATTTCAAGCCCTAATATGAAATTATGGGAGTTTCAAACGAGCTTTTATATGCTCAAGGATTTTGAGTTGACGAAATTGCCCCTTGCACTATCAAAGAAATTGATAGGAATTCTAACTTGTCCTTGAATTGCTACAAATACGAAACCAGAGGGTCAAAATTGACGGAATTAAAACTACAGGGTCAAAAGTGGTTGAATAACCAAACTATAGGAACCAAAAGTGACTTTTAGCCTTTTTTTTAACCCCCAACCCCAGTAGTAGATAAAATAAAAAATACTTTAAATGATATTCCTAGTTGAAAACATTTATTTTCTATTTGGTGGCAATTTCCGACATGATCCCGTAGACGACTCGAAACCCGCTCGATTAAATTTTGTAGAGTGTTCAAATCCCCTCTTCCCTGTATGTTTTTCTTTGCCATTCAGATCCTCTCCCCTTTGATAAACACAGGAAAAAGGAAGTTGGGAAAACAGGCAATACAAATGCCCAGCCAACACTAAACAAAATATTCAAAGATATCTCTTTAAACTCCTAACAAATATCCGACGGGAAGTTGCAGCCATCAAATAACGGTCAGAATCAGCACAATCTTAAAGATAGGGAGTTGCGCTCATCGATTTACAGAACTCATGTGATTCATGTCACAGTTTCAGCCACTTAGGCTTAACAGGTTTTTTCTCTGCAGGCTTCTTCTCTTGAACAACAGGAGGTGATGCCTCTGGTATCGTTTCTGGTGCAGACTCAACAGGCTCTGCATGCTTAGTGAGGAGTTCCAAACCTTTCAAAGACATGATCTCTTCCTGAAGGAAGGGACCTGACTTGGCATCTGAAGCATCATCTGCTGGACATGACATTACAATAATTAAACATTTCACATTAGCCATTGCTATTTAATTACAATCAAAAGATACATATGATTACATCAGTAAAATAATTTTCAGGTAAAAGTTCTGATTCCTCTGCCGTCACCCAAGACGGGCCAACCCCATAATCATAGAGAAGAGTGTCTCCATTGTGAATATTTCATTTTAAGTTATGAGACCAAAAGGCACGTGCTAACCTTTTGGTATATCATATGAAAAATACACAATTGTACCAGGAACAAAGCCAGCAGAGTAAATGGCATCCTGTGTTATCTGATCATGATCAGTCCTTTTGTTTCGAGGGGAGGGCTGTGGTTGTATGCGATAATATCTATGCCTTATGCTCCAAATTTGGGAGGCTTAGAGCATCCACAATGAGCTTCTTAAACCACCTCCTTAGATAAATTTGAGGGAGGAATTGGAAAAATACAATCTCAACCATGCTCTCTATCCATCTCCTAAAATAGGGAGACCTCTAGGAGCTCCTAAATCTGAGGAGAAAGAAGGGACTCCTAGTGGCTCCTTATAATTTAATACTGCTTTATTTAATAAGTATTTCAAATCTTTAATTAATGCTAACTATTTTTTATAATAGAGATGGACCAATTAAAAAAAAGTTATAGCATTTATGACTCCCTAAACTATGAGAAATTTTTATATGTTCCAGGTACACCACGGGGATGGTGTACCATCCAATGAACATAGGACATGTGGAATTATTGTCTAACTTACTGTATTTCTTTTTATGACATGTGGCGGGCTGTATTGGAAATATTCCATATGTCCTCCTTCTATTAGATGGTACACCAGCCACGTGGTGTACCCGGAACACCCAAAAATTACTCCTAAACTAGAGAGCATGGTTGGAGTTTAAATTTTATACAGAGCTCCTAAAATAACTTTTATATGTTTTTAGGTAAAATTTAACTGAAAAATATAAAGATAATTGCTATATTTACATAATTTCGAAATAAAATTTCACTATAAATTCGAAATAAATACAAGAAAATAACGACAAGGTAAATGTTAGGAATACTTTACAGATGATCGAGTATAGAACTTGGTTCTATCTCCTTAAGACGAAATTGCCTCCTCACAAGTGCTTTTAGGATTTCCTTGGCAAATGTGTCCCAGAATACAACGATCGACTTCTTGTTGAAGTAGCACTACAATCCCAAGAAAAGTGAACTCAAACTTGTGTATGAATTCTCTCTTTCTAACTCACTATATTTCTGAAAATGTAATGCAATGAATGCTCTAAAAACTACTATTGTTGGATGACAATTGGATAAATGAAATGTTGTAGGACCTTCTCTATTTATAGGCAACAAGGCCTCTATTCAGAAAAGATGTGACTGAAAAGTATCAACAAATGTGTCTTTTCCTGTTACAATCATAAGCCAAGAAGTGCAATGTTTCAATTACTACGAAATAATGCAACTTAAGCCAAGAAGTGCAATATTTTAATTTCCATGAAATAATGCAACTTTTCATATAAAGTATTATTATTTTATTCACAAACAAAATAAATAATATTTTATTTTTCCTTAGTTAAGAACATGACTATTCCCAATTGATAAATACCAATTCGTAAAAGTCATGTACTCACAGGTCCCAAAATTTAATTTCCATTCAATTATTAAAAAATTAAATATAAATATTATAATTTTCTAACATTTCTCATTTGATTCTAGTACGTATTCTATAAGCAAAATGCAGTTGCTTCGGGGTGTGGACAACGCGGCAGAAGGGTTTATATGATTGGCGACCGTTTTGAAACACTCTCATAGTGTATGGTTCATCTGGGAACTTGAAGTTTTGTCTTGTCTGCACTGCCATTGACCGCCGTGGTGGCGATCGTCGTCAGCCTATTTGGATCACCACGTTCCGAATCGTCGACGATGAAAAAGGAGAAAGCTCTATCAAGACCTTGCATCTAGCTGTTTATGATGTGGTGGTGGACCTCAAGGACAAGTACAATTTCTATATCGATTTCAGCTTCACTCCGGAAGTTTCACTCAATACGCAGGTCCTATTGAAAAATTCTTATTCATGTACCTCAATGGTTGATCCGATTCCCATTTATTGTTTATACTATTCCATTCTTCTTATTATAAGAACATAATTTCTGCAACATAATTTTATGACTCAGAGATTGCGAGGATAACCAATGTCCCAAAGGAGAAGATGAAGAAACTGAAGTGAAAGTAATACATGCCATGGATGAATGAATATCAAATTCTGCAAGTGTTTGAGTCATAATTTCTGATAATATTTCACTGCACACAGGGACCACCGAAAAAGAGACGCAAGCGCAAGTCTATTAAAGCCTTGGGCCTCTGTTTGAGGAAAGGGCTAATTTTGGGCAAACCCTGATCATGTTCTCAAGTTGAATTCGAATTTGGCAATCATGCTCTCCTGAGTCCTGACTGTAGTGGAGGTTTTACTATTTATAACTATTTTACTGTGTGTGGCTAATTGAAAGCCTTTAACTACATAATTGTTGCAAATGTCGTTAGGCTGGTTGGTTAGGGTATTATACCGCCCCCCTTTCATTTAAGTTAGAATATTTTATAGTAGTTCAAATTATCGCTTGTATTGAGTTGCTGGCTTTCGATAAATATTCCATTGCATTAAAGGCTTATACATATTTGATTATGATTATGCCCTGTTGACAAATAATAATAATTAAAAAAATCATAGGAACAATTTCAGCTAACCTTTTATAATTCTTTAATAAACACTCAACTCAAGGATCAAAGTTCATTATAAGAGCTGTCAATTATTTATGCTAGATTGACAGAGAATCCAAGCACATATCAGAATTTTGAAAAAGGAAAAAAATATAGAAATTGGGTGCCCAAAGATTACTTTTGGGTGAACGGATCCTAATTGGAAACTACAGCCCAACCCAATGTACCATGTCGGATTGGATGCAATAGGCCCGCCTGAGCCTAAGGCACAAAACGAGTTGTCGTATTACTGAAGAAAAAAACGGTCTGCCGTGTGCTGCTTTTAATGTGCCACGTAAGCCCGCGGCGAACGCAAACCGTCAACTTCCCTCTGTTCTGCTTCGATCGAGCGAAACAGAAGCAGAAGGCTGAAGCTGCCGAGCAGCAAAGACACACAGAATCACAGAAATGGATAAGAAAGCCAAACAGCTGAAGATAATAGTAGTTGCCCTCGCTTCTTTGACAGCTCTCTCAGTCTTCTTCCTCGCGCGAGAACGAAGACGCCGAAAGCAGAAGTGCCCCCAAAGTCGGTGTTATTTACAAGCCGACCACATCAAGCCACAGTGCGGATTCAAGCGTGTCTTAGCTGAAAATACATACTCTCCGTTCAAGCATTTAAACCTCCTCAACGACCCTCAAGAAGGTATTAAGTAACACTCAGAAAATTGTTTGCTTTCGTTGAATTTTTTTCGTTAATTTGATTTTCTTGGAAATGTTAATGGAAGTTTGAAATTTGGGTGGATAGATAAGACTTGGAATTCGCATCCTTACGAGGCGGAAGTCACTGCCTTGATGGAAAGTCCTCGGCTTGAGCTTCAGTGCATTACGATGAAGAATGTGGATTTGAAAAAATTGAGTGAGTCGTACGTTTGGGTTGAGACTGAGTCGCAGTTGAAGGAACTCGTTGAGGTTTTGAGTAAAGAGAAGGTCTTTGGCGTTGATACTGAGCAGCATAGCTTAAGATCCTTTTTGGGTTTCACAGCTTTAGTGCAGGTAAGCTAGATCATTTGACAAATGAATGTATGTACCGTATGTTGTGTGTACATTTCTAATTTTGGTGATACTTTGATTAGATTTCTACTGAGAAAGAAGATTATTTGGTGGACACGATTGCTCTGCGTGATTGCATGAGCCTTCTTAGGCCAGTTTTTGCGGATGCTAGTATCTGTAAGGTAATTATTTATTTACACTTTTTGTGTATGTGTAACTGATTTGGGTGCAAATGGTAACACTATGAATGAATTATATTTGTAATGTATTAGCGTTAAGATGGTGGAGTTTTAATTGTATTGCCATTTTTTGTGTGGGTATTTTATGTGACGGACGTAGGTGTTCCATGGGGCAGATAGTGATGTTCTCTGGCTACAAAGGGATTTCCATATTTATGTTGTTAATCTCTTCGATACTGCAAAGGTCAGCTGTCATTATTGTATTATGTTAGATCAGTGTTAGATGACATGTAAACTCAATTATATAAACATAAAACTCAATTCGTGTTCTTTTTAATACACTGCAGGCTTGCGAAGTGTTGTCAAAACCACAGAAATCACTGGCTTATTTACTTGAATCTTACTGTGGAGTAGTCACAAACAAATTGTTACAGGTTTGGCCTTGACGCTGTCTAATTGTTGATCCTTTTGCTTTCTTCTTTCTTTAAATTTATAATTTTCTACTAAATGGTTAACCTGGTTAGTAGTAACCCTTCCTTCTTCTAACCAACAATTATACATGGATTTCGAAATCTTGTTTTAAGGATTTGACATGCAGCTACTGTGCTCATAAGAGACGTCATATTGCTTCTTATCCATTCTCATATTGATTTGTAGCGCGAAGACTGGAGGCAACGACCCTTGTCAACAGAAATGGTGCAATATGCTCGAACAGATGCACACTATTTACTGTATATTGCACACTGTTTAATTGCTGAGCTGGAAATACTGGATAACGGTACACCTTCCTTCTTGTGTCATAGGTTCTTCCTGACCTTCTTTATTTAATGAAAAATGAAAGGATTATGGCTTGTGCATCATGAACATACTATAAGCATTGAAATCCAGAACCAGTGAATGCTAGTCTTCAGTCTTCAGCATTGTATGTGCATGTCTGCACTCCTGTGATCCTTTTTGTTTCCAGAAAGTTCATAACCTGAATAAGATGAAATGATTAAACTTTTCATATTAAGTAAACCCAGTAAATTCCAATTTTTGACATTGTATGTGTGTGTCTGCACACCTCTGAATGTTTTCTGACATGATGATGATACTTATCTATTAATCTTTTATGAAGCATGAACTAAGCTAAAACACAGTGCATGTGTTATAGGGTAACTCTTGCTTAGCCATGATTTCAAGTTGATAACCTTTTCAAACTATGCCTACACCTTTCTCATAGTCACTGCATTGAAATTCTTAATATCTCACTCTATCAGAAAACTCCTGTTCCAATGACAAATTCCGTTTTGTTCTCGAGGCTAGTCGGCGTTCAAACTTGATGTGTTTGCAACTGTACACTAAAGAGATAGAAGCTTCTCCTGGAGAGTCTGCTGCATCATCAATTTTTAGCCGCCATTTGAATGGACGAAGAGGAATTTCATCAGTTTCTTGTGAAATTCAGGTATGCTTCTTTTGATGTTCTTGACACGTCAAGCAGTTTAAAGTATTGCATATAATCAATAAATGGCATCAATGCAAAAATGCATTTGAATCTGCTTTCCACCAATTTTTGCATTGTTCATAGCTTGGGAGCTTTTTCTTTCTTTATTTTTTCTTAGCCGGGGGGAGGGGGGATTGAGTTGGGTATTTTGGATTGAGTGAGTTCCCCTTTATTGAACTGGGACTGTAGTTTTGTTAAGAGACCCAAGAAAGCTTTGTGGATGGTGGTCCTATTGGGTATTTTTTGCTGCATTTGGGCTGATGAGAGGAACTGTAGGGCTTTTCCGTGGTCAAGCATTCAGTTGTGGAATTGAGAGGCCAGCTCTTGTTAGAATTTCTTTTTATTGGCCTTTCTTTCTAGATTCTTGTACGGTTCTTGTAACATTTCTAATGAACAAAGTTACTTATTAAACTAAGTATATTTATGCAAAAGTTTGTATTTCGGTTTCAGGGTGCTGTGAGCAAATTATGCGCATGGAGAGATTTAATGGTTAGTATTACCTTTTCCCAAAGTTTGGCTATGATGGATATATATTTATTTTTTTGTCGAAAGATGGATACATAGATTTTAACTCTGTTGTCCAGATATTTGTTTAATTTTTCGTTATTGACATTACAATTTACGGTATGGACAAAGAGTAGCTACTCTCGATGAACATATCAACAAACCCATCTCATGAAACTTAGACACATGCATTCTTATTTTCATGTTTTTCATCTTGTAATGTTGCACCTTAGGGTACTGAGATCGCCTTCTAGATACTTAAGCAATCACATGCCATTTGCTTCCTTTCCAGGCTCGTGTACATGATGAGAGCTTGAGATATGTAATATCAGATCAAGCTATTGTTGCCCTTGCAGATAAAGCTCCTACAACCCCTACAGATATATTAGCTACCATTGCTCAAGCTGATTCTAATGTGGATTCAAGTTTGAGTTCAGGCCTCTCATCTCCATCCCCTGTTGTTTGCAGTCATTTGGATGATCTATATCATCTGCTCCAGAACAAAATTGGCAACGCTGATGATTTCTTTCCCCTGATTCTTCAAAACTGCCTGGGTACAAATGGGAGTTGTCCACTGTCTATCTTCAATTATGCTTTGCTGATTAAGTGTAATCTGAAAATGACTCAAGTTTCTAGACAAAATGGGGTCAGAAACTCAAAGAAAGTTGCTCGAAAAAGTTCTCGGCAGCTGTTTGTTCAAAAATTTTCCTGCAAAGCTCCAGTTTATCATAATTGCAGGATCTATGCAGATGATGGGCGGTTGCTTTGTTACTGTGACCGCAGGAAGCTTGAGTGGTTGGCAATCATATCTCTTAATTAATACATTTTTACCACAAAATGGATTGCATTAGGCATGACCAATGTTGTATCTTACAGGTATCTTCGTCGGGATTTGGCGAAACTTGTTGATGAAAATCCACCTGCCATTATGCTTCTTTTTGAGCCCAAAGGCCGTCCAGAAGATGAAGGCAATGATTTTTACATTCAAAGTAAGAAAAATATATGTGTTGGCTGCGGCGAAAGAAATCATTACTTACGGTACCGAATAATTCCCTCATGCTACAGAATGCACTTCCCGGAACATATGAAAAGCCACCGCTCTCATGATATTGTCCTAGTATGCGTGGACTGTCACGAAATAGCTCATGCCTCTGCTGAGAAGTACAAAAAACAGATCGCTGCAGAATATGGGATTCCACTTTTTGTTCGTAAAGTGGTTGTTTCAGAACAAGCTCAAGCTATATCTGAGTCATCTGTGCCAGCAACATCTTTTGAGGAGGAAGGTGTATCTCCTTTACAATTGCGAACTGCTGCTGTGGCTCTTTTGCGCCATGGACCAAGAATGCCATCCACGCGCCGTGACGAACTGACAGAGGTACATGAGCGTATATTTAGCTCTTGATTTTTAAAAAACTATTACAATGGTATATAAGTTCATTATGGTTGGATAAAGCAAAAGGGCAGTGAATGCTACAACTCTTGGTTGAACTTTAGTAAAATGGCTTCATTTTTTCTTGCATTTCTTTCAGTATAAATATCCATGATTGTGAAAGGCCACACCACAGGTTTTTTTGTGTTGATTCCGTTAATTTTGACATTACAGGGTTCTACTACTGCTAGTCTCTTGATTTTAGGAGCACTTTTCTATTTTAAGTTTTATTTAGAATACAGATTTCTCCTCGTTTTGAAAGATTTTGTGGGGTGTTTTTTTTTTAGTGCTGCTAAACGAACCCTAAAATTAACTGAGTACACCCTATGATCTAAGTACACCCTAATATTTTAATTAAAATATAAAATTAACTAAGTACACCCTATGAAACTACCAAAAATACCCCTAGTACACCCTAATACTTGTAGCATTATTTTATAGTTGATTTTCAGCTTGAAATAGTGTTTATAAATCTTTGACTTTTCATATGAATTTATGCTTCTACTAAAACTGTTGACACTTTTTTTGCAATTCCAAGCCCTTGCAATCACCACCTCTTTGTTAAAAACACAATAGGACAAATGAGAAATTAAACACAAATGATCTCATATTTTGTGTTGGAAGAAGCCAAATGAGCAAAAAGCCATCATAATTATTATATTTATTTTGATATATGCTACATAAAACTGGAATAATATCTCTGCAATGTACCAATAAGAGGCCAAATTGTAATGTTATTATGTTTACCCAAACTAATGTTGTTAATTACTAATTTAATTGAGCACATGTCCCTGTAATCAGGTTCATGAATGTAATTTCTTTCTCTGAATACGTTTTTCTATGGTATTATAAAATCAGAAGGAAAACAATGAAAGATGAAATAACTGCAATCACTTTTGGAAGGCAGTGGCCATAAACTGTAAGATAAGTCCTAAAACCACTTGAAATTTTGATATATCAGTCTAAGCATTCTGAATAATGCTCATGGGGCAGCACTAGTTATAAAACACAATTGATCTGCCCCATAAGCACTGAAAAGCAATCAAATATGCTTCAAGATGCCAACCTGAAGAAAAAATAATAGCAGTCTTATGTGTGTAACACGAAAAAGAATAACAAGCATGCAAAAGATCACCCACTTGAATGGTTCCAATAAAGCTGTAATAAGAAAAGAGCAAAACAATATGAGCACAAGATAGCTACAGAGCATTATACATCCATTACAGATCTGTGACTTCCAATCTCAAACTAAAATTATAGAGTGTCACCGAACCTCCTTTCTAAGTTGTCTAATCCAAGTTGCCAAGAAATAGTTCTGAGAAGAAAGAAGGAAGGCTTCATCTGCTGCAAGCCATTCTGACTCGCGGATCACAAAGATGGGCATCAAGCAATCTCTTGATTAGGGTTCAATATGGTTAGTAGGGTGTACTTATTAAAATTATATTTGTTTCACAATTCCATATATTCTTTTTGGTCATTTTATATTAGGGTAAATTAGTAATTCAATATATACTTTTGTAGTAGGGTGTACTCAGTTAATTTTAGGGTTCGTTTAGCTGCACTCTTTTTTTTTTACGGAATCTCAGCAATACAAAGGAAAACTTCATTGAATTCTAGAAAAATGATGGGGTGCTCAATGCATGATTAATAAGAACATCCCGACTATCAAAAGGAAGAGCTAAGGAAGCCCAGAAAAAATTCATGCTACTGCTTTATCCAAAAGGATACAACAGCTTCCCAGCTTGTTTATACACAGCTATTGTGAGCAAGATTCTCTTCGATTTTGCGGTTTAACGTGCATATTGTGTGTTTCATTATTTCCAGTATTTTAAGTGAGTTTTCCTTTTGATTTCTGAATTTTGTGCATTTGGTACTCTTAATTAAGTAGTTGTCGTATTATCAAAAGTTAAGTATCTGAGTATTGCTTTCACTCATTTCTTATTTATTGCAATCAGATAGTCAGCTCAGCTAATATGATTAATTAAGCGTGTCCAAATAGCATTACTGAAGACAATATGATTCGTCAATTTTGTAATACCTTAATTTGTAGTCCATAACACATATTAACCAAATTTGATCAAAGAGATGAGGCAAAAATAACATAAAAGAAAATCACTAAAAATAATTAGATTTTCCTTTTTGTTAAAACAAATTGGAGAGTCATTCTTATAGATCTCTCTCTCTCACTCTCACGCTCGCATATCTTCTTTTCTTTTTGGCCTGACTTACATCACATATCCAGGGGATAATGGAATAAGAAACAAAACTACTCCAATATCATGTGACTGCAAGCATGCAACAAAGCTGTAAGATCAATCCTGCCTCTCTCACCAACGGGAAGGAAGTCCCATTCAAAATGTGCCAAAAATAGCATGCAACAAAAGCTGTAAGATCAAACCTTAATTTGCCCAATCCCAATTATAAAGATCATCTGCAAATGAAAACCAGAGGTTAGGTCAGAGTATGCTCCTCAAACAGAAATTATAAATTCTAGATATGGATGTTTACCAAAGGTCAAAACTTACAGTCATTTTAAATCTTCTCTGGCTTTAGAAAGTTCTATAGAGACAACAATTGAGACTTATGATCGACGCCGTTGAAGATGAAAGTCCCAGACAAGGGCACAAATTGTCTTGTTATAAGCTGTCAGTGACATGTTAAAAAAGGTAAATGTCATTTTAAGTAGCTATATGATGACCAACATGTGGGTCCCTGGTTGTAAAAATAACGGCAATCAAATGAAGCAAAGCTAGAAACACAAAAACCTTAATCACTTCCTGAGATGCGATTCCTCCAATGAAAGCAGCAACTGCATGGAGCTCGGCAGCACCAAATCGGCACATCTCGTTGATAAGGTCCTCAGTTAATGTTACACCATTGCAGCCTAAATCATTAAGCAGGCCAACAGCTGTAGTTTTCAACCGAGATATGTCCTCATCCATCACACTATGAGGGAGTGAGCATGAATCAGTACAAATATTACAAGTTTGTATCATAACATGGTCATTAACAGTATCAGGCGTTACCCATCAAATTGCCCAGGAAAACTGTTGTAATTGGCAGCAAACCGATCAACAGCTCTAAGCAAAATATAAAACCCACCAGCAACACTGTCATGGAAATTAAAGAAAACAGTGAATTTTAAGCAAAACAAATAGTTTCTCTCATGTAAAGTCTAAGAAACTATATTTAGGGGTAGAAAAACCACGTCATATTTATAAAAAGAAAAAATAATATACAAATCTATCAAGAAAAAACAAATCACAAGGGATCTTCTTCTTGACAACTGGAAACCTTCTAACAAGGGGTCTTCTACTTGACAATTGGAAACTTTCTAAACGAATAACAGTAGCAAACAGGCACAGCACCCACGTATTCCTTAACTGACAGGAAAAGTAACTATACAAAAACCTTTATTGAGTCTGTTCTGCAATAATATAATCTAAAAGCAATGGTAGTAAAATCATAATGTACCTGTAATCCTCATCTGTTAGATACTTCTGCAACTCTGGTAGGACTGGAGAATTGAACTCATCTTCAACGAGGCGATACCTGCAAACCTACAAAGTAAAGATTAGTGTTCAATTGAAGGCAACTAGGCAAACATCAAAAGGCTTAAGTAAAAGAAATACTTTACAATACTAATGAAGCAATACATGTAGGTTACACATAAAGTGGAACCCAGCACACTTACTTTGAGTTTTCTTGCATTTTTGCAGAAACTTTTTATGGTTGTCTTTGAGATGCTATTTGGATCTCTACCAATTCTTTTCAGAATAGTCCTGACCCTTTGCTCAATAACAAGAAAATCAGCCTCAGCCTTGGCTTGGTAGAGTTTCTGTAAGCATACATAGTGCCTACAAGAGAGTAGATAGAGCTCTTGTGTCAACAAATTATTTTTTAAAAGCACAATAAAGAAAGGATAGAATCCTATTATTGGAAGATCAATCACTAACTCTGTCGAAGATGTCATATCTGGTATTGATCCCTCGAGGGGTGCCTCACCACCACCTTCATTTTCTATGAATTCCTGCAAAGATAAGATTCTTGATTATACAACTTGAGCAATTGACAATGAAATGGATCTAGATCCTACATGATATCGGACAAGATAATTATGAGCATCTGATTTTCTCGACAATAAAATTTAATAATATTGGCAAGCTTCATATATCCACTGTAAGATGGCTTAAATCTTCATAGGAAACTAAAACGTCTGCCTGAAGCATTCAAGGGGGACAAACTCAGCATGAGAACAACTCTGAACATGAGTTGTGCATTCCCTTTGAATACAAAAACCTAGGAATCTATAGGACCCAGCCTATTTATGCGAAATATGTACGGTTAACTGCCTAAACATAACACAGCCAATCATCGCTGAAAAAAAAACTTAAAAGGACAGTTTCAGTCATGAAAATGATAGGCTTGATATGTTGTTTTTTCAGAAAAACAGAAGGGCTTGTCAATCACAAAGGATTGACAATAAAGAAGGAATCTGTTTGAGAGACTATAGAAGATATGCATTTATGTGACAATAACTTTATCCTGAGCGTACTATATCCAGTTGTAATTGATGCAATATTGTTTCACAAACCTTCAATGCTGCCACCATCACCCAAAAATCAGATGAACTGGAATCAACTTCCACAAATCTATCTCCAATTAACTGTTGCAAATCTGAACCTGATACATAAAATGAGAAGAAGAAAAATTGCCAGAAAAGTCAGACTGATATTGACTCATCAACATTCAAGGCAGAAAGCACAGTATGATGACAAACTACAAAGAAGTATAGTGCAAACCACAAAGTTTATAAAGACGTAGAAGTCATCAAACACAAGTGGAGGATGCCATTTATCTTTTTTCCAGATTAATTATATTATGTGAATTATGTGAGTATACAACAGACTCTTCTGCAAAATATACTAAAACACTACAACCAATGTTTGAAAAATATACTCACTAATTCCACATGGAGCAAAGACTTTGAAGGAGGCCTCAATGGCTTCTTTATAGTTATCTTCATCAAGTGCAGTCATCCTAGCTTTGATATGCTCCTAACAAATTCAAGACCACAAGGGAAAAAAATCATATTGCTAGAGAGCAAATGTAAGAATAAA